CCCTAAACCTGGAACCTGTGCAGAGCAGCCTGACCTGCCCTGAGGAGCCTGTTGGCCTCTTTTTTGTCTGATGATTTTCCTGCTCGTTTTGTGGTCTGAGCTGTACAATAAATCCAGGGAGAGGCAGCACTTTGCTTTTCCTGGCTTTGATTGGATTTGAGTGCCTGCAGTGCTCATTTATCCATGCAGAAACTCAGCGAGGTTTGCTGGGGGGTCTGCCCTGAGAGGTACCTTTGGAATTTTCCCATTCATCCCTCAGCATTTATTTTGTCAATAACAAATCAGCCTTTGGAATTTTTTAAATTGTTTTCTGTTTTACACACTCCCACACTTCAGGAGAGGGGGAACCTGAGAGCCAAACCTGATGTCCACAAATCCCAGAATCCCAGAAGGACTTTGGCTGGGAGGGACCTTTAAAAACCATCAGGTTGCAGATCTAGGTCGAGGTCTGTCTGCTTTCTGCACCAGGGTGATGTGCAAGAATTAAGAACAGTTTCACTTTTGGATATACAAAAGACTGATTTTTCTTTCCCCTTACAAGTTTTGAATGTGTTGCTGAACAGCAAAAACATAAGAAATAGGGAGCTGCTTTTTGCTTTTAAAAATACAAATGTGGGATGTGTAAATAAAATACTTGAGTTGCTTTTTTAGCAAAGGCTCTTCCAGCTTTGGCCTTTCCTCAGAGGAATGTTCTGCTTTGGAAATCTGCTGGAGATGCTGCTTTACACCCAATCCCTTGTAAATAATCCAGGAGTTGAAGATGATGAAATCTGTCTATCCATAAGGCTAATCCTGGGTGTCCATGCAAAGCAGAGATGTGGCAGGCACTGAGGCAGGGGGAGAATTGATCTGACATTACAGGGAAGATAAGGCACAGCCACACTTCTGCCTTTCTGGGAATGTCTGAATCCTGCAGGGAAGGCTTTATCCCTGGAATCTTTACCCCTGGAATCTTTATCCCTGGAATGTGGGAATGCACCTTTGGGTGTCTCAGACAAAGCTGTGCCTGCAGTGCTGAACACATCCAGTTTTTTTTTTTAAATAAAATCTGCAGCTCCTGGGAGGAGATCACCCTGCAGCTGGAGTTAGGAGCTCCTCACCCCCTCACTGCCCCTGAGGGGGGTTTGGATGGGGACAGACAGGTGAGTGTCCCAACACCTCCATTTCCAGCCCAGGCTGGCACCTTGCCTTGCAGAGCCTGTGGAACCACTGAATTTCCCTGTTGTGGCAGTGCATTTTATTTCTGAGTCACAATCTGTGATTTAAACCTGAATTTTTTTTTTAAATTTGGGTAACTTGGTTCCTGATGGCTACACTCTAGCAAGTGCCACTTTGCTAGCTGCATGCTTTGAATTAACAAACATTTCTTCCTGTCTCCTTTGAATCCTTGCCAAGGCTCTATGTGTCTCCAAGGAAATCCATGGATGAGAAAACTGCCTCTCCTCTGAAATGGTGCAGGCAGGTTCTGGACAACCCCAGCCCTGAGATTGAGGCTGCCTGCAGAACCCTCATCAACAGGCTGGACCAAGGTAGGGGCAGCTGCAGCCTCTGCTGCTCTGGGCTCTGCAAATCCCTCATTCTCAGCAGGAAAATCGAGCTGGGTGTTGTCAGCCCCTCGAATTTTTAAGATTTGTTAATATTTAAATATGTTTAAATGTAAGAAATGTGTAGAGGGAAAAATGTGCTGCCGGTGAGTGGGGAGAGAACCATGGAAAACTCTTCTTGCAGTTTCTTTCTGGAGAAGAACTGGTGCTGAGTATTCCTAGGGGTGATTATTCCTCTGGATATTCCTGCTGGATCTGCCCAGCTGCTCTTCCCTGGGTGACAAAGTTGTCTGCTGCTCATAGCTTTACAACAATGAAATATTAAACTTGAAGAAATGGTGTCACAGGTTTTTCCTCCAGTTTATCATCCCCTAAAAGCACTTCCTGGTGGCTGTGTTAATCCTGAGGGGAAATTCTGATTTCACCTGCCTGAAGTGCAGACCTGCAGTGTTGTGTGCAGTGGGGACATCCCTGATCACAGGCACTGCTCTGGGGCTTTGCTTTTCCACCTGGCCTTTGGTGGGAGAGCTCTCAGAACAGATGCAGTTCACAGGACAAAAATAAGTTTATTCAGATGCAGTTCACAGGGCAAAAATGAGTTTATCCAGGTGCAGTTCACAGGGCAAAAATGAGTTTATTCTGCTCCTGCCATCACCTGGTGCATATCCTGCCTGTGTCACTTCACAGCCCAGGTTTGTGTGCCATGGGCTGGGCACTGAGAGGTTGGAAAGGAACCTGTGAGTATTTTTTACCTGCCCTGGATCCCCTCTCATCCAGCTGTGCTGCTCAGGATGTGCTGCAGTGTGCTGTGCCCAGCTGGGCCTCCAGACACAAAAGCTGTGTTTGGAAAGGTGACAGTCCTTGGAGAATCCATGGAATTGGATTTGGGAATCAATTCTGCAGGAAGCAAGCCCAGCTGGGTCCCCACATTGCTGTCAGAGTTTGTGGTGCCTGGCTTGGTCTCCATGGAAATGCAAGAATTCTGATTTCAGTTTCATCAGCAGTTTGAGCCCTGTGGTTTGGATCTGAGGTCACTGCTTTGGGGCTTGGTCTGGGTTTTTTTAGTTTGCATTCTGTCAGTGTTTGGCACTGCTTGAGATCTCAGGCTTCTCTTGAGTTTAACCTTGGCATTCCTGGTTGGAGATAACTGAATAGACTCTGAGAACAAACTTCTTTTTTTTTTTTTTTTTTTTTCCATAAACCATCAGTGCTTAGAAATTCGAATGAAATCAATTTGATTGCCTCTTTTCTCTCTGAAATGTGTCAAGCTTCAGTTGTGCTTAGTCTGACCTGGGAGAAATTAAAAAAGAAAACTTAATCTGGTGAATCTTCATTATTTTCTTAGCTGATACTCCCCCAGTGGGGAGAACTGAGTTCTGTGGGCAGTTCAGCTGCCCCTTGAGTGTCTCCAGATCATGGTGTGAGTAATTTCCTCAGTGTTGTAGCTGCTCATTTCCACCTCCAGTGAGGATGGGGGCACTTGCTTTTGCCACCTGCTTTATTTTGATTGGTATATGAACATGTGAGTGTGTGAGAGCTGAAATAATTTAATTCAAAGAGTTGGTTTTTGTATTGGATTGGCACAGTTTCTGTGGTTTAATACAGTCTTGGTTCCATCATAAAAATTCAGAATAGAAATTCAGACTAACACACATGTAACATAAAGTTCAGTGAGTTCTCTAAAATGAAGGGGTGCAAAAGTGGCAGCTATTGATGGAAAAAATCATCTGGGAAGCCCAGCACTGGAACTTTGTGAAATGTTTGGCTTCCTTAAAGCCAGGCTTGTCAGGAGTTACTCTTGGAATTCTTCAGAAGGGACAAACCCAGTTAAAGGACACGAGTGGGGCACTGCTGTGCCCCCTGCAGCCTGGCACTGCTGCAGAATTCAATCCTGTTTGATAACCCCTGTATCTTCTTCTTGATCTTGCTATCCATCAGAAGTTGCTAACCTTTGTTTTTTTTTTTTTTTTTTGTATTTTTCCTTCTAGCCAGTAGATGGAAAAACCTGTATTGCAGCCCCCTGGCGTCTCCCAGTGCACATAACCTGAATGCCGAGGCAGGCTCCTGTAGCAATGCACTAAACTCTCCTGGGCACCTCAAATCGACTAACAAAGCACTACTAACCTGTGGCAGCTCAGGTATGGCATGGCACTGCAGCTCTGGGATCTTTAAAATGCAAGGAGGGTGAGGGATTGGCACAGGGAAAAGTTCTCGTGGTGTTTTGCTCCCTTCCTCACCCAGCTTTCATTTGTGTGGGAGAAAACCTCCTTGCATTCTAAATGTCCTGTAGTTATTTCTTGGTTTGGGTTTCTCTCCTTTCTCTCTCTCTGTATATATATATATTTATAAATTGTACTAATTTTAAAGTGGCTTAAAATAGAAAACAGCTGTTGGGGCAAAAATATATTGCTCTTGAATAATGCTGTAGAGTGTAGATGTGATTTTTATAAAGGTTCTTGGATTAGGTTTTCTGGGCAAGGTTTCTCTTGGGAATATTGATTAATGCAGGGAACAGAAAGCTAACAAAGCCTTCAATTCAATTCAAGAGTGAGCAGCTCAAACAAAATAGCAAAACTTTTCCTTCAGCTTTCATCGTGTGTGGAGGAAGTTTCCTTACCTTAGAGGCAGCTCAGGCACAACTCTTGTTACTCCAGATAATGAAGCTGCTCCGAAATTCTTTGTCCTGTTTGAGGAGCCAGAAGAGCCTTCCAGGAGCTCCATTTGTTATCCCTGCTGCAGTTCCTGCTGTTCCCAGCACCAGGCCTTTGCCTCTTGGCTCTGTTATCAAAGGACTCTTCCTTTTCTCTTTGTTTTGTGTGGAAATTGCTACACCCTACTTTGCATGTTTTCAAACACCGAGCATGTTTAACAGTCTCTGCCTCCAAACTTGATGTTAAATGAACTTTTTTCCCCTCTCAGAAAAAGAAAAAGGGTTGCCTGTGGCTGTTTTCACGGGTGCAGGTTTGCTTTTGAGGTCTGATTTTCTGCTCTAAATAGAAATTAACACTAATCTCTGTTCTGCAAACAAAAGGATGCACGTAGGACTGAGGATTTCTGCCAGCTGAGCTCTGCAGGGAAACATCTCTAAGGCAATTTTTATATGAGTTTGGGGGGCAATCCAGGTGTCTGAGCACCTTTCCATCCAGCAGCAGCTCCTGATGAGTAAAACCAAAGTGGCTCTGGCTTCTGGAAGGTTCTGCTGGGTGGGAAGCCAGGACAGGCTCTGTCCTTTCAGAGCATGATGAGTTCACTTCATCTCAGCTGCCTCTTCCCTGTGCCTTGTGCTAACACGAGTTTAAAGTTTCCTGTCAACCCGACTGACTCAAATCTTCTTTTATTTCCAAGAAAAAGCAGCTTTCCAACCCTTCAAATGGAAAAATGTTTAAAGCAGTGACTTCCCTTGAAAACCAAACCAGCCCCTTTGACAAAACCCAGGTGTGGTTTCTGTTTGAAAACCATCAGCAGCTCAGCTTTACTGATGGAAGAAGCAGTTTTATCCCCTCCTTGGCTATTTTTAGCAATTTGAAATGCAACAGCCAAACTAAACAAAGTTGGATTGGGAGTTTTGCCTTTTAGAAAGCTGGTCTCAAGGTCCAGCTGGATTTTTAATCAGTATTGAAGGTGCTGTTTGTTAATTACAGCAGGAAACCTGTGCTCGTTCATTCCACCACATCCTACAGGTGCAAGCCCTGCTCAGGATGGATTTATTTCAACTCTTACAGCCTTTTCCTGACACCAGGAGGAAATAAATGGGATTTTATTGTGGAATATCTTGACTTGGATTGTGTATTTGTGCAGCATGCACCTTTAAGGTACAGCCACACTTCTGTCACTCTATTATTTAAGCATCACAGTTTTCCTGCCATGTTCTGAGAAGATTTGAAGGCAGGGCACCTCCTGAATACTCAGCAGTGGTTTTAAAATAAACCATTTCCCAGCAAAACTGAGCAGCCCTTTCAAGCTGTGATCAAACTCAGGCAGGCAGGAAAAAGCAGCAGGTTCCCAACATTGTTTCTTGGAAGAGAAGTAACTGCTGACAGTGTGAAGTTCAGGTGTAAAATGATTTTTTTTTTACATGGGCACTGACCAAGTCAGCCTCACATCCCTTGTTTGCAAAGCACCCGAAGACTCCAGGTTAAAAACTGAGCGTTGCAATTCTTCAATTCTCATTTCTCCCAGCTGGAACCCGAAGCTCCCAGGTTCACTTCCCAATTCCTGGGGTAGATCCCTGCTGCTCCTGGTGCCTTTGGCAGGGTCTCACTGGCTTTGTGTCCCTGTCCCCAGGTTACCTGAGCATGCACTCGGCCCTGAGCTCCCAGTCGTCGGTGGACAGCGAGCTGAGCACCTCGGACGACTCCATCTCCATGGGCTACAAACTGCAGGACCTCACTGATGTGCAGGTCATGGCACGGCTGCAGGAGGAGAGTGAGTTTTGTTTGTGTGTCTCGTGGGGTTTTTGGGGGGGTTTTGTTTGGTTTTGTGGTGGTTTTTTTTTGTTTTTTAAGAGGCAGGAAAACTTCAATAGCAGCACAGATCAGTGAGGAGCTGTAAATAACCCAGGTGCCCCCCAGGCAGGTGTGTTTCCATGGGAGACACACTTGAAATCTTTATTTCCACCTTTGAAATGCTGGTGGGTGCAGAATGAACAAAACTCAAAGATTGAACCTGTAAATGAGACTTATACCTAAATGAGACTCCTATAGCTGTAAATGGGACTCCTATTCCTAAATGAGACTCCCATACCTGTAAATTTAGACTCCTGTGAAAAACACTCTTTATTGTTTTGGTAAAAATGTAAAAAGTTTAATAAAAAGATAATAGGAGTCAAACATAAAGGAAAGGGTTAAAAGGGCCAGGGGCTGTTTTGGAAATGTCTTTTTAAATAGGTTTTACAATATATTAACTTGTTGTATGTTTATAGTTTTTTTATGTATAGTTAAACTTTTTTTGGGAACTGTTTAGTATGGCTGTTTTTTGGGTTTGATTTTTTAGAGCATGTGTGTTTTTTGGTTTGTGGTTTTAAGTTTTTTTAAATTATTTTTTAATTTGGGTGGTGGTTTTGGGTTTTTGCAGTTAGTGAGTGTTGATAATCGTTGTGTTAGCTGTAGGGTTTTTATTACACGTTTATGGGTTGTTGTTTTAACTGAGTGGGTAGTTTAAGCATACTATTTAAAAAAATTATGTTTAACTTTTGTTATTAGAAGAGAAAGAAGAAAAAAGCTATATCTGTACAGAAAAGCTATTTTAACATTATACATATAGCACTTATTTTAATATTTGCAAAAAGCCGACAACATGTCATGTACTTATAACACTCCTATACCTAAATTAGACTTGTACCTATACACAGTTTAAGAGAGCTGTGAAAATGGGAGGAATCGGTAGAAAGTGAAGCTGAATCTTTAAAAAAAACCTGTCTAATCACGGACAAAGACCCTGTAACTAATTAAAGTTACAAAGTGGAATGTTTATTCACCAGTGGGTGGCACGGGAGTCACCTCGGAAAGGCGTGACCGCCCCGAACAAGGTTCTTTGCCATCTATTTATTCCCCAAAATTTTACATACAATACATCTGCATAACCCCAGCACCTCCCATCCCCATCCCGTATTAAAATGAGCCCGTTAGTCCTTCACGTGTGCGCAGTTCTTCTCTTGAATTGGGTCGGTGGTCTCGAAATGGGTCAGTGGTCTCAAAGGATGAAGTCAGGAGAGTCTTCATCAGGTCTCAGTGACCCTCTGGCACGATCCAAGGCTTCGTGATTAACGGTTTATTATTTTACCTTCTTCTGTACGTAAATTTATTATAGCAGATAATTATACCAATTAGCTCTAGCCTAAGCATTTAGTAATTATCAACCTACCATTTACCTACCTAACTTACATCTTGGAAACTACTTCTACCCTTAGCAGAAATCCTAACTTTTTAAAACCACGATTCAAAGCCAGGAAAGAACCGTGGGATTAAAAAAAAAACCCAAAAAAACAACTAAAACCCAAGGTTTTTCCGCTCAGGTCTGCGGCAGGACTGCGCCTCCAGCTCCGCCTCCGTGTCCCGGCGCAGCTCCAGCGCCTCGCTGCACTCCCTGCGCCGCGGCACCTACAGCGACCAGGAGTTCGACACCTACAGCCTGGAGGATGAGGAGGAGTGTGACTGCTCGCTGTCGCTGCGCAGCGCCCACCGCTACTCGCCCTCCCCGCTCAGCTCCCCGCGCTGCCAGTCGCCCTCGGCCGGCACCGAGCTGGGCAGGGCGGCGGCGTCCAGGCTGCGAGCCCCGCGCAGGGCGGGGCAGAGCCCCATGCAGGAGCGCCTCAAGTACAACGGCAGCGAAGGTGAGGGATGGGCAGAGCCACAGAGGGGTCCCGGCACGGATCTGTGATGTGCCCGAGCTGTGCTGGCTCTGTGCTCGGAGCGGGGTGCACGGCCGGGGACAGGGGGCTCCTGTGCTCCCAGGGGTCTGCGGTCCCCGGGTTCTCCTGCAGCCCCAGGGTTGAGCCCCAGGGTGCTCCTGTTGCCCTTCCTGTGCCCTGTGTTCCAGAAGGGATTTTCTGCCTTTCTCTGCCCCCCCGCCCCGAGTGGAGCTGCTGCTCTTTCCTGGGCATTTCACAGGAGGTAAAGACCAGAAACTTCCCCAGAGTCAGATGGGAACTGCTTGAAGGCTCCATCCCAGCTGAAGCCTCTCAGGCAGGGTGGATTGTTTCCCTACAGAAATGATCAGGAGTGGGTTGCCCAGGGGAGGTGATGGAGTCACCATCCCTGGATGTGGCCTTGGGGTGCTCATGGTGATGCTGGGCTGATCCTGCTGGGATGATCTCAAAGGTTTTTTACACGCCGTGATTTCAAAACCACCGCAGCTAAGGACTGGGCAGGGACTGCTCAGCTTTTTGCAGAGAGCCTCGAGGCAGCAGAGGCTGAGGCTGAGGCTCTGTGTGTGTGTGTGTGTGTGTGTGTGTTTGCAGAGGAGCTGAGGCACAGCATGCCCAACCTGGCCCGTAGCAGCCTGCGTGCCCTGGACGCCGTGCGCGGCAGCCGCAGCCTCGAGTCCGACCTGCAGGTGCCCGGCAGCCGCATCCCCAGGACTCAGCAGCGGTCAGCAGGTGAGTGCCAGTGGTCAGCAGGTGAGTGCCAGCCCTCAGGTGAGTGCCAGCCCTCCCACACACCCCATCCCCTCCTCTCTTCACACACAACACCTTCACACGTGCTCTGGTGTCCCTCCCCTGTGTGTGGTCACTGCGCTGCAAAGAGAGGGAAAGGACAGCAGCACACACGGAGCTCTTTGGGGAAAAAAGGCCAAATTTATTGTACAGACAGCCCGGATTGAAAGTGTGTTAGTGCAGCCAGGACAGGACAATTGGGAAAAACATCCTTGGGACAGCACCTCAGGATGTGTCCCACGGGACAGACACCAGGGGTTAATGTTGGTGATGAATTCCACTCTGTTTGTCACCATGTTGTCACCCTGGGAGACTCCTCCCTAACTGAAGCTGCAGTCAGCTTGTCAGCCTGGGAATGGAGCTGAGAGTCAGGAGAAATCCAGGCCTGGAAAGGATTTCCAAGCTGGAATTCCCCGGCTCTAAATGTGTGTGTCCACACCTGTGTGGGGTTGTTGTTTTCTTTAAAGAGCTGTGGGGAGGGTCCAGGGTGGGGGGAGCATCAGAGACCAATTTCCAGGGGACAGAGGAGTGGCACAAAGGTGGGGTTAGGGCATGGGAACCAACGGGGAAACAGGGTGGGAGTCACTGAAAGATGAGGGACAGGGAACAGAGCAGGGTTTGCTGTGACAGAAGCCACTTGTGTCTCCCTATCTGGGAATGCCTTTCAGGGTCTCTGTGAGGTTAGCTCCTCAGGCACCCAGCTTGTCAGGTTATTTTCTTCAAAAAGCCAAGCAGCTCACAGTTACTATAAAGTTATTTATTGCAGAAGCACATCAGTCTCAAAGGCAAAGACAAAGCAAAGTATGGCAAAAAGCAATGGCAAAATGCAGGTGGCAAAAGGCACCAGCTCTCCCTAATGCATGGTTTTATATAGAAACTTTTCAACTAGTTAAGACACAAACTCGAATCACTACTTCTTAACCTAGTACAATTATAGTTCTTTAGCACACCAGGTTATGTATAAACTACATGCATGGTCTGTCTTGTTCTAACTGAAAAATGTAAGCAATATTCTTAATTATGCATTTATTATGTCTGAAGCGAGGTTCTTGGAGCCTCCAAGGAAACACCATGTTTTTCAACCTTCACTAGAATATGTACTACTACTCTGGCATCTAAGACCCTTTACTTACTAAAAGCACTTAAAACTTATTTTACTTGCTTGCTTATACTAAAATTTTACTTTATGTGTGAGTGGCTTAACAGACTTCAATCCATCCAAAAGCTTTAATCCAATCCCTGCACTCTGATCTCTCTCCGAAGGATTCAGAGAGACTCCTGACTCACTGAGAAACTCGGCAAACTCTTTGTTTTTTGTGGCTCTATCCCAGGTCTGACTCCCAGCAAGCTCAGGTATTCCTCGGGGGCAGCGCAGTCGCCGCTCACGGCTCGCCAGCCCTGCAAGGCTCCGGGAGCCACGTCTCTGCTGCCGGGCAGGCAGGTGGGCAAACCCTGCAGCTACACAGCCCCTGCAGCCCCGGCCCGCAAGGCACAGCTGCACACGGGCTCCCCCGGCAGCGGCTGCGCGTCCCGGAGCAGCAGCGCCGTCACGGTGGCCAAGGGCTCTGCCCCCAAGGCACGGCCGGCCGTGGCAGGAGTGGCCGTGCCCAAGGGAAAGGCGACGCCCCCGTCCAGGAGGTGAGTGAGGCTTGGCAGAACCCTCAGACCTTCCGCGGCAGGGTGGGAGCTGTCCCTGCACTTCCATCTCTTGTTCTTGCTGCTGGTTTGTAATGCTGCAATTCGGAGTTGCATGGTTGAGAGGAAATTAAATTGATTCAGATTTGTTATTATGATATAACTTACACCCGACTAACAAGCAACCAGTGCTTGTTGATCTTTAATGTCCCATCGGAGCCTTACATTGAAATGTATCTCCTTTAAAAATTCCCTTTTTCATGGTTTTAATCTCCTAATTTATATCAGTACTGTACATACCTGATAATTTTTCATGAGTTCAGTTACCTTTGCATGGAGAATATTTCTCATGTTCTCAGTCATGGGCTGAAGTCACAGCAGTGTGAATTGGGGACATATCAGTGTTTAATCACCCAGCAGCAGCCACTGAATTTCCTTAAACTGTCTCAAACTGGTGCTGAGGGTGTGACAGCAACACTTCACCCATGACAGGGAGATGTTGTAACACAAACCCCAAACCTTTGTCCACTACAGGGCACAGCCTGGGCTGTTCCTGAGCTCTTGTTCTGTTCCCCCAGGTTCCTGGGCTGTCCCTGAGCTCTTGTTCTGTCCCCCCAGGTTCCTCCAGGCAGCACAGACCCCCCAGGCCCCCGAGGATGACTCCTGGAAGGATGGATGCTACTGAGAGCCCAGAAAACTCCTGTGTGGAGCAGATCCCAGCTGGCTGGGCACGACCTCCCTGGGAAAGGCCCCGAGCCCCTGTCCCTGCAGACTCTGTACATATCCCAGCCCTCACTCCGTGCTCCCACAGCACCCACCTCCCTCTGCTCTGCCAGGAGCTGGGGCTGGGACACAGCTCCCACCCCTCACTGAACCCTGAGTCTTCCCTGAAGACTGGAAAAGCCTTATTTGATCCCAGCCCAGCTGCAGCCCTGGGGAAGGAAAGAAGGAAGGAAGGTGTGCCCCGTGCCCTCCCAGGGTGCTGCAGAGCTGGGGGTGTCCTCTCTGTGCCACAACTCTGAGCTGGTGCTGGGGCAGAGCTCGTGGAGAGTAGAAATAGTGACATAGGTGTTAGATTTGAGACTTTTTAAACCCAACCTGATGTACTCTAATATTTGTCTGGAATTCAACTGGGTTTGTTTTTTCTTTTTTGTTTGTTTGTTTTTTTGTTTTTTTTTTACTTTGTATAGAATGTATTTCTGCTACTTTTTATTGTTTGGTCTAGAGCTGCAGCAGGTTTTTATAACTGTAGAACACTCTGTTGTATCCAGGTGTCAGCACAGGTCACGAGGAGCAGTACACAATATTTGTGTGGGGTGGGAACAGGCAGGGACAGGGATGCCAGTTAAAAACTGCTGGGCACCAGCACCTTCTTACCTCAGCTGAGTGAATTCACCACCACTTCAGAGTGAACTTTTTAAAAATCACCTTCCCTCACAGCTTTGTCTTGAAGTGTTGGAGCTCTCAGCTGGTTCCCAACTGCCCTGACTTTTGTAGAAGTTTTCTACTGTCTCTTAAGGATTCTGTTCCAGTGTCCTTTTCCTCAGCAAGTGCTGGATGCTACAAATACAGTCTTAGTCCAGGAAATATGCACTGATAGCAATGTTCTCCCTGCCATCAATGTGACTTTGATAGTGTAGTTTAATAAAATGTTATGGTGCTGAAACAACAGATCTGCTTTATTCTAACAGTGAGTTTTGTGTGGGGCTTCTGACAGAAAAGAGATCTGCAAGGATAAACAGGGCTCCAGTGAAGTGTGGTAGGATGCAAGGAGTGAGATTTAATTCCTTGGAGATCACAAGGACGAGGTGGGTGTCAGTAAATTAAAAACCCATTTGTGAAACATCCAGAGGCAGGAAGCAGCACAGGGGAAGCTCCTGCACTGCAGAGATCTCTTGGGATGCAGGGGAACAGGAAGAGACAGCTGAGCCCAGGCCTGTTCCTGTGCCACCACTGGAGAGCTGCTGCTCTTTCCTGGGCATTTCACAGGAGGCAGAGACCAGAAACTTCCTCAGAGAGTCAGATGGGAGCTGCTTGAAGGCTCCAGCCCAGTTCAAGCCTCTCGGGCAGGGGGGATTGTTCCCATTTTTCTCCAGCCTGGCAGAGCTGGCTGCAGTTCCAGGCTGAGCAGAGCAGCAGGAAGGTGCTGAGGTTGGATCCTGCTGGGATTCCCAGGGGTTTCCATACAAACCTGATGCTGGAGGAGGCTGTCCCAATTCAGGAGGGAGCACAGCACCACTGGGAGCTGTTCATTTAATTTTATCCTTGCATTTTTCTGAGCTGTTCTCACCCTTCAGCTCCCAATGTTCTCCATTTCATGGCTGATACCAATGAAAATGCAGCTTTGCCTCAAACTGAGATAACAACTCCCAGTATTTTCCAAGTCCAAGAGGAAATCCAACTCCCTCATCCCAAAGCATCCCTGCTTCCAGAACCTTCCTCTGCACCAGCACTGAGCACTCCCAAGGTAAGCTTTCCACCAAACTCTGCTTTCTGTACAGGAATTTTATTGAAATCAAGGTCATGGGATTTTTTTTACACTAATGCCTCAGTGCATCCTCGAGAAGGAAAGGAAGGATTTTCTTTAAAAATTATTTGTACATAAGACAAGAAATCATCCAAATGAACATGGTAACAGCACTAGAACATGCATGGCTGCACCTGGGGCTGCAGGAGCTGCAGGGAGGGGGCTCCAAGCTTTACATTCACAACAGAAACAGAAGCAGGTGCCAGCGGCCACTGGCACTTTGTGGGTATCCATCACCCTTGGTGAAACTTCAGCCCAGCAGAAGACAAATCCAAAGGAGCTGCTGGTTACAGGAGACTCCAGTTCTCGACCTGGAGGAAGCTCCGTGCTTGGTGCCACACTGAAGGGCAGCAGAGCCACGTCCCCACCCTGCCAGTGCCACCAGCACCTCGTGCTCCAGCTCAGGCACCAAAAGAAGCTTCCCCTTCCAGCCCTCGACTTCCAAAAGCAGATTCCTTCCCCCCCCGAAGGGTGTTTCCACTTTTTCCCTGGGAAAGGAGCCCATCAGCTCCAGCTCCAGTGTCCCCAGCAGCTCCAGCTCCACAGCCAGGCCTGCCTTGGGATGGAGATGTGCAGCTGGCACAGAAACAGCAACCCTGAGCCTGCTTTTGGTTACCAGCCTTGGGTTTGGTCTGAAATCCTCCCCGAGGAGAACGTTCATCCTCGGGCAGAGCCTTGGAGAAGTCACCAGCCACCAACTCCAACGCTCCTGTGCCCTCAGTTCCAGTGCACACCTCCCAGGAGAAGCACAAGCAGCAGCTCCCTGGCACCTCAGCAAGCCACACTGGCCCCACATTCACCGTAGCCTGTGGCAGAATTAGAAATTCTATTCATTGCAGTCCACCCTCTGAAGGAGAGCAGGAGAAATCATCTGTGAGAAAGCAGATCCTGAACCGTGTGCTGTGTCCCCTGTGCCAGCAGCCCGGGGGAGGTGAGGAAGAAGTGAGGATGAGGAGGCAGCCATTGGACACGCTGAGGTGACCCCACACCTCCTCCTGCCTGCAGCAGCACCTCCACCTGTGAGTGCACAAAGCCCAGCCCCCCCTTTGTCACCAGGGTGACACCTGCAGCACTGGCAGCCTCCAGATGTGGCCAGATGTGCAGGAGAGGCTCTCTGGGAACCCAAACCCCATTCATTTGGCTCTGCCCACCCCAAACCTCCTCTGTGGGACAGCTCCAGCCCAGGTGGAGCTGCAGCCACTCCTGTCCCCACCCAGGGGAAGCCACAGGGACACGGGGCCAGCATGCACAGAGCCCTCTGCAGGGGTGGCATTGGGACAGCAAAAGGAACACCAAAATCCTCTCAAGTAATGAACCCAGCCCACTCTTGAGGGGAGGAGCAGCAACCAGCTGGGTCTGTCCGGGTGATAAGGCAGAAAGTCTGAAGTCCTGGAGGGCTGGGAGGGTGGAGGTGGCAGTGGTGACAGGCAGGAGTCACTCTGGAGGTTCCTTCTTCACACTCTGCCTCATCTCCTGGGGAGCAGCTCCAGCTGCAGCTACTTCTGCACACAGCTGGGCCAGGCCAGCCCCCCACATATGGCTGACAGGATGATGTACAGGATCACCTGGGCAGGGAAAATGGCAATATCACAGCGATTAGGGACTGCCAGCACTCACTGACTGCCACAGCAGCCACCTGGAAACCCCAGAAGATCCTGTGTGACACCCTCCCATCCCTCCCTGCAGCTGGGAACTGTCCCCAGGAGGTGACAAAGTGCTTCCCACCCTGCCCCTGCTCCATCCACAGTGCCTACAGCTGGACGGGAACTGTCCCACCAAAAAAAAGCCACTTCAGAGTCACAGAATGAGATGCCACCAGGACTGAGGGCTAAAAAGCCACCCCAGCTGCTGCTGGGGCAAGCAGGGGCAGCTCCTGGTGCTCCCAACTCCTCTCAGAGGGTCACAAAGGTTGGAAAAAAACCTCCACAATCACCGAGTCCAACCTTTGATTAAATCCCTCCACATCCTCTCGTTTTCTGAACCCCTCCATGGTGACCCCAGCACTGCCCTGGGCTCCATCTCTCTGTCAGGGAAGGAATTTTTCCAAATCTCCAACCTGCACCCCCCCTGATTGCCTGGGAGAAGAGGCCAAGCCCCTGCTCAGCACAACCTCCTTGCAGGGCCTTGTAGAGCCAGAAGGTGCCCCCTGAGCCTCCTCCTCTCCAGGCTGAGCTCCCCCAGCTCTGATTGCCCAGGTCCTTCATCCTCCTCACACAAGGACACTCAGTGCCCTGTTTCTGCCCTGCCAGGCAGGGCTGGGCACACACAGAGCCCAGAGCTGGGCACACACAGAGCCCAGGACACAGAGCTGGGGACACACAGAGCCCAGGGCACAGAGCCCAGGGCACACACAGAGCCCAGGACAGTGCCAGGGGTTTGGTGTTCCCAGCCTGGCACAGCAGCTCCAGGCTCCACACTCACAATGGACACGATGATGATGACGATGGTGAGCTTGAGGTTCTTCATACACATGGCTCGGGCAAGGTTCCTGCTGGTGGTTTTGAAAGTGACTGACTGCAAGAGAAAACAAGGGAAATCCCAGGATGGATGGGTTGGAAGGGACCTAAATCCCATCCAGTGCCAGCCCTGCCATGGCAGGGACACCTCCAATCCCCATGTCCAACCTGGCCTTGGGCACTGCCAGGGATCCACAGCTGCTCTGGGTAACCTGCTATGGAAATATTTGGGATGTGGTTGTCCCATCCCAAATATCCTCTCTGTACCCTGCACTTCTGTACATCTCAATAGGATTTGGGCACCAAATGACCCCAAACAGCCCAGGCTGTCTCAGTGCATCCCTTCCCACCCAGCCCTGCCCCAGAAGCAGCCATCCCATGGGGCAGTGCCAGCTTTTCCTACAAACCACCCTCCCCGAGGCTGCAGCAGGCAGGAACCACATCCCTGGGAGCTGCAGCTCTGCCTCAGAGCCCATTCCCAAGGTGGGGAACAGCCCTGGATCTCCCTCCTGTGCTGTGGGACATCCCCCTGAAGGATATTCCACCCCTTCACTCCCTGTGCTTCCCACAGGGACAGCTCCTCCATCAGCCCAGCTGCTGCAGGAATTCCAGTCCCTTTCCCTAAAGCTCCACCTGAGCTTTCAGCCCTGCCACCCCCCGAGGATGGGGGGAGGTTTGGACACCTGGGAGCTCCAGGCATCTCTGCTGCCCCTCCAAAGCAGCTCAGGGATGTTGGGATCCCACACAGGAGCTCCTGGCACTGTCCCTGGATGCCACAGGAGCCGGGCACCAAGCCACGGTGCTGAGCCAGGGCCAGGCATTCCCAAAGGAATAGACAAAAAGCTTCCAGAGTGCACAGCACTTTGCTAGATAACCCTGCTTTAGAATTATATTAATTTGGGGTTTTTCCAGTCTTCACTTCCTCAGAAACACTCCGAGAAGCTCCAGAGTCTTTAAAGATTATTTAGGTGCAACAACTCAGCTTTTGAAATTTTACATCAGCCACACAGTTCCTGCTGCTATCAGAACAACTCCACACAGATGCACATTTTGCAGTTTATTTGCATCCAGCTGCCTCCAGCCCAGGCTGCCAGGGCAGAGTAAATTGTGATTTTATCTCTCCTATCACTGCAGATAACCAGAGGGGTTTTTTTTGCCCCCGTGATGAGGACAGGGATGTGTCACCCTGGGCTGGCTGTGGCACAGGGAGCAACTGGACCTTCCCCAAACTGGGAGGCAGCTGGGGAGGATTCCCTGCAGGTCTCCACGCTCCTGTGTCCCTTTCAGTGTCCCCAGGAGCTGTCCCCACCTCCCTGCTGCACAAACACAACTTCCCCACTGCCAGGATTCCCCCAGGCTCACCGAATCCACGAGATTCTCTGTTTTATCAATCAGCAGCTCCAGCTTCTCTCCTCTTTGTGCCACAAGGTCTGGAGAAAAGACACAAAAATCCAGCTCTGAAGGTGAAATCCCAAAAAGCAAAAAGCTGCTCCCAACATCCAAACCCAAGCCAGGAGCTCCTGGCTGCAGCCTCCAGCTTTCCTGGGATAACCACGGGTTGGGAACAGCCCCACATCACACAGGCTGCACTTTGGGACTGAATTTTGGGTCAATTCCAGATCTCAGCCTCTGGTTTGGATGCCAGACTTGTCAAACCCAAACCCAAGCCAAGGGAAGCTGTACCTATGTTCCGGACCATGATCCCTTTGAGTTCATCGATCTGGGCCTGTGTCTCTGCCACCTGGTCTGGGCCCTTGCTCTCTGAGTGGTATTTCTGCAAAAGAACAGGGAAAACAGGAGCCTCAAAAACCCGGGAGACAGGGAAAACAGGAGCCTCAAAAAACAGGCATGAGGGAGAAGAGGAGCCTCAAAAAACAGGATCCAGGGAAAACAGGAGCCTCAAAAACCAGGACTCAGGGAAAAACAGGAGCCTCAAAAGCCTGGAGTCAAGGAATACAGAAGCCTCAAAAAACCAGGATCCAGGGAAATCAGGAGCCTCAGGATCCAGGGGAAACAGGCAATTTGTGACTACTTTAAGCTATGGCTGAATTCTTGCTTCTCTAAATCTCACAGCCCTGAGGCTGATGTGTAATAAATCTGAGACACGTTGTCTTCAATCCAAGGGACATCTCCACAAAGCCCACCCCAGGAGGATTCCTGCTGGAACCTTGGAAACTGAGAATTTGGGATTTTCTGTGTTGACAGGCACTGATTCCCAGGAAAACATTGCTTTTGACTTGAGGCTGTGAAGGAGGCTCCCAAAATTGAATGACAGAACTGGGATTGTGGGTGTGTAGTTTGAGTAAAAGTGTGTAATACCACAGGGTGAAAAATTTAGAATTTAAGGTCTTAGGGTATAGCAATATACAGAAAGCAAGATGGAGGTTTTAGGGCAGAGGTTTCTTTTTTTTTTTTCACCTTCCTCTTCATGGGTCTGGATGATATTTTGTATGATTGGATAAAAAAAACTCACATTGTGGGTGACAAGTGGTTGGTTACTGGGTTAAAAGTAAAAATAATTTAGGTGGCATTTCTTATTTGGACAGATTGTATAGAGAGAGAGAGAGATAAATCTCCATTTTTACTTTGTTAGCTTGAAATGCTGTAAAATTCACTGTAACACACATAAGAATTAATAAAAATCTGAGTCCAAACAAGAGATTTCATTGGATCCCGATCCTGACAAAGGCAAAAAAAACAAAACCAAAGGAACAAAAATGCACCAGGCTGTTGTGGGGAGAGCTGGGCTGGCAGGGAAGGGCTGGGGCTCACCAGCTGGGCAGCCAGCACAGAGGAGAACTCGCTGTTCATGGCGTAGGGCAGCGCTGTCTGAGCCCGAGAGCCGTACGTGGTCTGGAAACGCTTCCTGATCTCGGCCAGGAACGTGAACGCTCGGGAGCGCTCAAAGTCCTGAGGGCAGACACACAGCGTGAACGGCAACAGCAACAGCAGGAACAACAGGAACAACAGCAGGAACAACAGGAATAGGAACAACAGGAACAGGAACAACAGGAACAGCAGGAACAACCGGAGGAACAACCGGAGGAACAGCAACCGGAACAACAACCGGAACAGCAACAACAGAAACAGCAACAACAGGAACAAGAACAGCAACAGCAGCAACAGCACCACCACCCTGCCAGGCTGGGGGGCTGTCTGAGGTTGCAAT